GAGGGGGAGGAGGAGGAGGAGGAGGAGCAGGAGGGGGAAGAGGAGGAGGAGAAGGAGGAGGAGGAGGAAGAATTCTGTTCAGTGCCATGTCTCTATTGTATATATTATGTCATTGTTCACTTGTACATCACTGTTATTAAAAACTGGGTGACTAGAATACCATGGCGTGGCGTTCGCCCAGCTGATCTCGTGATGGACGACGGATGTTCTGAACTTAATAGTTTTGAGATTTTAAGACTCTCAGCCCATTTGGCTTGATCCTGTCGGAAATGGACGTTAAATTCAACCTGAGGTCCCGCCTCTTGTATAATGTTACAGTGTTCAAAAGGGCGTTAAAAACCTGTACACTTTCACACATTCAGAAACCGCATCACGGAAAAGTAAAAAGGTATTGCAAGTATGATTTCCTTCCTTCATGATCCGACTTGATTATACAGACCCGACTAGTTTGCATAAACGTGCACCCTACTTAAAGACAGCCTTCGTGTCTGGGAATAATACGATGGTTGTTTTTCCTGCCACACATGCAGTGTTAGCGCTCGCTTAGCGAAGATCGAAAATAAAAATGTGGTTGCAAAACGAGAGACAAATGACCGACTTCACTCAGTGGTCTCACAGAAAATCTCGTTGAACTACCATGTACTGTGCTCAAGAATCTACTTAATAGTAACCGATATTCAAGTTTCAACAATATCTTTGCTCTTATTCTAATTTTTCTCTTGGATTATTATTAGTGAGATGGATCGCTGTTCTTCCTTCATATTGATTCTTGCTATGCTGGAAATACCATGTATTGTTTCTGCTACAGACGTTGTTATACGCTCTTCCTTCGGAATACTCGAAGGAAGAAAACTGTCACCTGTCAATGGAAAGACGTATGTCGGATTTCGTGGGATTCCTTACGCAAAACCTCCAATTGGAGAACTTAGATTTGCCAAGCCGGAACCTCATCCTAAATTAGGTATATATAACCTTTTTAATGAATGTTATGCCTTCTATATCCATTTTTATATTTTCTTGATATACCCAATATTACATTTATCTTGTCGGTTTATGTCGTTTGTTGTATCGAACAAAATCTACTTAGTCTTATTATGGGATGGGCTACATTAGGAGTAGCTGAAAGACATCGGACAGATTTGAAGCAAACCCAACGGTAAGTTCCGTCAAAGATAACGACAAGCATTCTTACAAAAGGTTGCACAGTCGATACTAATTCTGTCGTATAGAATGTTCTGTGCATTTGTCTGTAATGTGTCTGTTGTTTGTCTTCGTCTCTCTCTCTCTCTCTCTCTCTCTCTCTCTCTCTCTCTCTCTCTCTCTCTCTCTCTCTCTTTTTCCTTTC